AGCGAGTTTTGGCTCCGTTGTTTATCACTGTTCCAATTGCGATCTTTAAGATGAACTGCAGCGAGCTCAAGACCGAGGAGCCCTGTGTCATTGATAGCGCATGCTGCCCCCCCCCCCCCCCCCCTGTTGTTTGTGCAAGAAATCAATAAACACCGATAAGCCCATGTGTGGCGCCGCACCTGTCGACGAACACGGGAAATTTCGGCGCGTGCTAGTTTCTGAATGCGCCGCGCTCTGGATCGCCGGGGTCGCCCCTGATCGCTCCGCTTGATCGCCTCAGGCCGCCGCCGGGATCTCGGTGGCCTAGTGGCGCAGTGGCGTCTCCGACTCGTCGGACTTCTGCTGCCCCGGGCCCTCGGTAGACACGGAGTAATTTTCTGATACGATGACTCACGGGTCGTAACTTAAACTAGATTTGCTCGATTGTTGACGCTCGGCCGTGACATCATGCTGTTGTCGCACGATCTCGGTTTCCGACTCGGGCATCCGATGCAAGGCTGATGTAGCCTGAGCGGCTCCAGGACTTGGCGCGGCGCGAGCTCGGTCTGTAGCGTCAGTCTGTGGACCTAGTCCCCTTTACGCTAGGATTTCTTCGAAGTTTGTGTTTCATTCCAGACCAGGGTATCCACTTCAAGTTGTGACCCGTGATTAGTAGATCGAGAACAACATCCTAATCACGAAACTACTAGTAGGATCCACTGGCAACTTGAAGCTTAATTTACACGGGTCGTAACTTGAAGTGGATACCCTGGTCCGGAATAAAACACAAACTTGGAAGAAATCCTACTAGATGAGCCCTAGTTATCGTATAGAGCCCATTCCGCGCCTTCAAAATCGATTTTATCACTCCGATGAATGTGGCTGGCTCGGCCGCCGGCAGCCACCCATTTCTTCAATTTTTGGCCTTGGCAGCCGCCCCAAGACGGCGCGGCGCGCCGTAGGCGCGCGTTGTAGAGGCAGTATAGAGGTGCCGTTTCGTGGACCGGGCGTCCCTGGCTGGCTGGCTGGCTGGCTCGGCATGCGGCGGCTGGCTGCGGTCCTCAACTGCCCTTGTAGAGTTCGTGCTCCGCGGAACCACTGACACGTTTAATGATCGGATTTATTCAACAAAACGCGCTGCCTCGGCGTTGCCGAGTGATAAAAATAAGCGTGTCTCACGGTCTGGACGTCGTTCGCGGAGCAGCGGCTCCCGGGGCCGGTCCTGAGCGTCGATTGGTCCAGGAAAACCTTGACGAGCGTGATCTCCGTCGCCCGCCGCATCCGATGGTACAATTTATCTGCGTCCAATCAACCCCTGAGCGGCGAAACCTTAACGGCCGCGGGCGCAGAGGCCCGGGGGCTGGAAAGGCAACGATGGGAGACGATTGGTCCAGGAAAATTGCGATGGACCCGACGCAATGGTGGTATGGAATGGATCGAGACCATCCCTTGGGGTAGGGGCAGCGTCACACGCCCCACGGCCACCGTCGAGACGACGCGGCGCAGGAGCTCGACTCCATGAAATCGATGATTTCGGACTCTCTCGACGAGCCCGCCGCGTCGAAGCCGATGGGGTTGATGAGGAACGATCACAGCTGCTGCCATGGCTCGAACTCGGAGGACGAGGGGTCGCGAGGGGGCAGCGCGTCCCCCCCCACCCACTCTACCTCCCCGTTCCAGTCCCCACGCGGTCGTATGAGCGTCGCGTCTTCGCACGTGCCTCAACCTTGTCCTTGCGGACCTCGCAGCCGCTGGGATCGTTGCACAATTCGGCATATTCGCGGAGCGGCGGGCACTCAAAGACGGCCATCCCATCGCAGCGCGCCTCAAAGCGCATCAACTTAGCTAGTTCGTGAGCCATTCGTTTGATTGAATGTCGTCGATCATCGTTCAAGCATCAACGTAGCTTTTAGTCAAGATTCTTGAAAACCCCAAGGTTTGTCGTTCCGCGGAGCACGAAAGCAGCCCAAGAGCCAGCCCGTGCCGCAGCTCGCGCCGTCGTCGCTGCCCCCCGGGCGGCCCGACCATGGCGGGCCCGCTGCTCGTCTGGGAGTCCGGCGCGACGTTGTCCGTGCACGGCTTGACGGTGGCGCATTCCGGCTCCCGTCCCATCCAGTGTCGGTTGGCGGCGGCGACTTCAGGTCGTGCGCGAGCACGCTGGTTCGGCGCCCCCGGGCATCTCTGGGTTCGGACCCTCGAGGCCGCCGACTTCCGCGTTCGAGGGGGGCGCACGACCGTGCCGCGCTCCATGGAGGCGCGCTGGCTCGAGACTCTCCGCGGCGCCCGAATTGCTCGCCGCCG